AGGCGACAAGTTATAAAAAGCTGCTAGAAACTCGGAGCGGCTGTGCGTGTGTGGCGTGTGTGCGTGTGTGGGTGTGTTGTGTGTGTGTGCGTGTGGGTGCGTGTAGCTACGTAACGCTCTCCGGTCAGCAATTAGTTGCCTTGCTGTGTATGCGTTCTCCCGAGCTCTGCGCGATTGCGGCTGCATGATGATGCCCGCTGCCACCGTCTCCGCCGCTCTCCCGCTTCATGCTTCTTGCCCGCTACCTGCATAACACGAACGTCAATTGTTAAATCAAAACCTCATGTGACAGAAGACATTCACACACTCTAAGTCCGCATGCGTTCTGCTGTACTGTTGGTCCATAGACAAGTCGTATTACAGACAATTGTACTTTACAAGAGGTTACAGGCCAGCGTTTTTGTTTAAGCACCGCGATCGGCACGAGAGTGCCAGAAGCAGTCGACTCGCACCAAGTCCTGATTCTCGTTACGAACATTTACTAAAACAGAGTGCCTAAATAAAATTATATATTCATTTCTTATAATACATTCATATGTACATTCATTTATAATACATTCATGATAATATATTTCATAAAAAAAAAATCTAGGCCTCACGGGCCCACAGGTACGGTCTTCTACACGGGCAAGTGTACTTAGATAACATAGTACTTGACAAGTACACTAGCCGGTGCAGTAGCCGCTGCCTATTCGATAACACTGACCTGACGTCCATCTTGCTACTCATGCTCTTCACTATCGCTGCGACCTTCTGCTCCATGTTGCTCGTGCGTGACAAACTCTGCACGCAGCCAGTCACCGAAGCCAGCGTCGTGTCCGTGTCCGTCACTGCTCATCACCTGCCGGCGACAAGATGCTGCTGCTGTTACTCACGCCTTGCTACTATTAGCGATGATAGATTGTTATACTACATAACTAACTACTGCTACAGTCAGAGTGAAACACGTAGCAATGTCATCAAGCAAGGAAAAGCAAGAAACTGCTAATTTATCTACACACATTCTCAAATGGCCCAATGAGATTGGCTGCTTTGTAAGAACGTTCTGTGTGTTTATAACATAGTAATACTTTGATAGTCTGTATTACAGCAGCACCCAATTTCCCAAAATGAAACACACGCACGCACGCACGCACGCACTGCGCGCATGCACACACCACACACACACGCGCATACACATGCACGCGTCTGCTCTTCAGGTGGAGTAACAGTACGCATCTTCATACCTGACATGCGTGTAGTGCACGGTTGGACATGCGACGTACACCTGCCATACACGCTTGCTCTGTGTACAGGCGGCAACATACTGGCTCTCTGCTATGACAGGCTACTTGGGCACATGCACACGCACACATACACACACGATTGCACGCACGCACCACACTCATGCCACATACGTATGCATGCACGCACGCATGCACACATGCACGCGCATGCACATGTTTGTATCAGGTGGGAGAAACAGTACGTGTCACGCTGCTGTGTACGACTCACCCCTGCCATACAGGCGTAGAGTGAACCACGCTGTCGACTAACCCCTGCCACACAGGTAGAGCGAACCACGCTGTACGACTCACCCCTGCCACACATGGTAGAACGAACCCACGCTGTGTGACTCACCCTGCCACACAGGGTGAGAGAACCACGCTGGCGACTCACCCCTGCCACACAGGGTAGAGTGAACCACGCTGTACGACTCTGCCGACTCAACCCTGGCACACAGCGGTAGAACGAACCACGCTGGCGATGACCCCTGCACACAGGGTAGAACGAACCACGCTGTGCGACTCACCCTGCACACAGGGGTAGAGTGAACCACGCTGTACGACTCACCCCTGCACATCAGGGTAGAGTGAACCACGCTGTGTGACTCACCCCTGCCCACCACGGGTAGAGCGAACTCACGCTGTGCGACTCACCCCTGCCACACAGGGGTAGAGCCAACCACGCTGTGCCGACTCACCCTGCCACACAGGTAGAGTGAACCACGCTGTACGACTCACCCCTGCCACACAGGGTAGAGTGAACCACGCTGTTGCGACTCACCCCGCCACACAGGGTAGAACGACCACGCTGTGCCGACTAACCCTTGCCACCAGCGATAGAGTGAACCACGCTGTGCGACTCACCCTGCCACACAGCGTAGAGTGAACCACGGCGTGTGACTCACCCCTGCCACACAGGTTAGAGCGAACCACGCTGTGCGACTCACCCCCTGCCACACAGGTTAACGAACCACACTGTACGACTCACCCCCTGCCACACAGGGTAGAGGAACCACGCTGTTGCGACTCACCCCTGCCACACGGGTAGAGCGAACCACGCTGGGCGATCTCACCCCTGCCACACAGGGTAGAGCGATCCACGCTGTACGACTCACGCCTGCCCACACAGGGTAAGTGAACCACGCTCTGTGCGACTCCCCCTGCACACAGGGTAGAACAAACCACGCTGTGCGACTCACCCCTGCCAACAGCGGAGGAGTACCACGCTGTACGACTCACCCCTGCCACACAGGGTAGAGAGAACCACGCTGTACGACTAACCCTGCAACACAGAGTTAGAGCGATCCACGCTGTACGACCCACCCTGCCACAGTGGTAGAACGAACCACGCTGTGCGACTCACCCCCTGCCACACAGGTAGAGTGACACACGCTGCGTGCGACTCACCCCTGCCACACGGAGGAAGTGAACACACGCTGTACGACTCACCCCTGCCACACAGGGTAGAGCGATCACGCTGCTACGACTCACCCCTGCCACACAGGTAGAGCAAACCACGCTGTACGACTCACCCCTGCGAGAGCCTCTGCTATCCTGCGCTGCAGCAGCTGCTCGTAGTATAGGTGCGTTGCGCAGCAGTTGCGCAATTGTCTGCGACGAGGGCGTGTGAGCGAGGCTGATGCCGTCGATCGTTCGGCCGTGCAGGCCTACTAGAGCGGCGGCCATCGCCTCCGCATGCTCGTGGCTGGCTCCGCTGCTCCTGTCACCCCTACACGAAGATTAATCAATGTACGCGCGGTACGGGGCTCCTGCTACTCCCACCCCTAACACGAGGAGGAGAAGAGAGGAGGAGAGGGAGCAGAAGAGGAGGAGCGAAGAGGAGGGGAGGAGGATGAGGGGAGGAGGGGAAGGCAGAGGAGGAGGAGGAACGAGGGGAAGAGGGGAGGGAAAGGGAGGAGGATGACGAGGGGAGCAGGGAGGAGAGGGGAGGAAGGGGAGGAGAGAGGAAGATGACGAAGGGAAGAGGGGGAGGAGGAGGAGGAAAGGAGGGGGAGGAAGGAGGGAGAAGGAGGACGAGAGGAGGACGAGAAGGAGGAGGACGAGGGGAGGGGAAAGGCGGAGAGGGAGGAGAGGAGGCGACGGGGCGAGGGAGAAGGACGCGGAGGGAAGCGAGGAGGAGGAGGAGGAGAGGAGGAGGGAGAGGAGGGGGAGGAGGGAAAGGCGGAGGGGAAGGTGGATTAAGCACAACCTAACTACATGTTATGCGCGTATAGGGGATCACGCTCGCTCAATCGACAATCCATTACAGTTCTTAAGAGAATTTTGGAATGCTGGAATAATCACGTTAAGCTAATGTGTAATTAACGCACGATAACGACACATTAATGTGTCCGGAATCATAGCAACCTACTGGTATATCTTGGCCTTGGCTTGTGAGAGCTCACTGGTCAACTCCTGGAGATAAAAAAAAAATATGTTTAAATTGGGCAACTATAAACACTTCAAATTGAATAGGTTGTGATTACAAGCAATTAGATTAAAAATTATTGTATGCGTATTTCACGTGAATTTTAATGACCTACGCAGGTAATATATGAAGGTGATAACTTAATATATTAACCATAACTGTGATACTTTACGGGTACCATCAAGTGCACGCATGTTACGGTTTATAAAAAAGTATTGTTCGACTAGCTGTACCTCTGACATTAGTTTCAGCACATCCATCTTGGCCTGTAGCTGTGATAGCGAGCCTTCATGCAGCGACATTCTCTGAACCTGCCGCATCAGAAAATAACAATATAAGACGATAACAACATGTAACGCTTAACAATGAATCTACCAAATATGGAATAGAGGTTGGCAGACAAACAACTCGTCCTAGACATTGTGCACAACGTTAAAATCACTTTGTATCATCAAGAATCCATGATGAAATAGATCAACAATACCCAGTGCGCATTTCTAACGCTTAAATTACTGTTTATCAATACAAATTATTACCATACGTACGATGCTTTTACTCCACAATCACTATTTACACACAACCACAACAATCGCAATGGGTCATTTAGCAATATTGACAAGCGACGTGTCAATGTAATATTCATCTTGAACTCTGGACGCATCTACTGCACTGCTTTCTATTGTATAATACGTAATGACTATTGACTTGCTACGTTACGAGAGGCTGGAGAGTGGAGGATGTTACGTGATAATAGATTTGAACTATGTCGGCCCACAGGTGGAGCTATGGTCACGGGGCATATAGTATATATACCACCAACAGGTGCCATATGCGCTCTCTTATTATCTCAGTACAGCTCGGTATTCAGCCCTTTCTTTTTGTGTACAGTAACACGTAACATGGTGAAGCCTACCTGCTGAGCTTCATGCTGATTAGCTTCACCTCTAACGTTCGCATGCAGCACTGCCAGCTCATCCTTAATCATCGTTCTCACCATGTCCTCCACCTACGTGACAAACACATCGATCTAAACACCCTGCTCTACTTCCCACCATACACCATACATGCTGTGAGCTAATCAATAATTACAGACAATTACAAATTTAATTAATTACATTAATTAATTAATTAATTAACTACAAATTAATTACAAATTTTGTAGAGATGAGCAGCATTACTACGCAGCATTCGTGAGGTACTTTACGGAAAATTCTGTTAATGATTTTTGTGTGCAAAATATCCATATTCAACCGACATGTACGGTCGGCTTTAGCCTATGAAATGTTGGAACAAAATACTTCTTCTTGTGTAAATTCTCACATGAATCTCCTTTGTAAAATCGCCTTATCAAGCATGATAGTAGGTCGTAAAAATGCAAAACATTGGTTCTCACTCAATTAAGGCATTAACAGATAATGAAATAATCAGCTCAATTCTCTTTATTGACTATTCTAATTGCCTGCATACTGTTGTTAATTAAATAGCTACAGGAATGTATCATACTTGGAAGGCTGTGAGTTGGTTGTTTTGTCTTGTGATCAAGTCAAGTATCATGGCTCGTGTGTCCGCATCGATACCTCCCAATGGCAGGTTAGCCACAATAGGGGGCGCTGCCGTCTTCGCAACCTGCGAAAGCAAAAATATTGTCATACCTCGAAATTTTAGATTCGCTTACAGTAATTATAAGTAAAGATATAACATGTTGAAATATTGCCTAATTAAAGCTTAATATGTCAACTATACTCTCCATAAATTCTTGAGAAGAAAACCCATAAACCCATATACGAAATATCATTGCAATGACACTACTGCCATGTCGATGGTCTTACTTGCTGTCCATAACCGAGTTTCAACGTTCAAACCCAGCTTACTCATTGCTTATTTGATCAGACTCTAAGTCAATATCACATTAGTCCTAGCACTAACATTTTCCCTACAAAACTGTAGTCAAATAAATCATGAATCATGAAAAATTAGCCCATTTGTGACTAGTATCATCCCTGAAATGGATTATTTATTTATTGGATTATGGAAACTTACTGATTCCCTTATTGGATATTAGTAATATTACTAATTACTTAATGGTAGAAAGAGAGAGAGAGTTAATGACTTACTGAATTCTTGCTCCACAGTCCCATGACAGGCAGGGTTGGTGCGGACGGCAGGTCAGGTAGAGAGCTCGTGATCTCATCCCTGTATTCATACACCTTGTAGCCCGCTCCGAACAGGATGAGCGGCAGCAGCAGCAGCGGCAGCCACACGCAGCATGCGGCCCGCCTGCGGAGGCAACGACGCCACGGTGACGACAACGAAACACGGTGAACAGCATCACTCGTTACACAGATATCATTAGCTATGTCACGATATGCGATGGAAGATACCAGCAGGAGTGAATAATCATAGATTCTATAGAATTCTAATCGAATCTATGATTATTCACTCCTGAAGTTAGCTTATATATCAACATATTTGCTATGTAATATTCCTGCGGGTTGGGCAACATTGCGGCGCCTATAAAACATCATTACTCTGCGATATCGCCTTGAGTGACACTAGTAGCTACTCATCAATAGTTACAGGATATGAACAGAGCAGCTCATGTTGCAATGAAGGAACACACGTAGCATGGAAACAATAGTCTCATACAGGTCTCATCAGGCTCACATGTAGGAATCGCAGGTAATGCCCGGGATCCGCAGAGAACAGAAACTCTTGGCACTCGGAAAGGTGAAACTAATGGACATCGACGAAGGTAGGAAGGTTTACAAATAAAACCAGCATGTACCAACCACGCTCACTCTGCACACCACACAGCAGGGATTCCATCGATCGTCTGTGAATTAATTTGATATGTAGGAATGCAGGGTACGCACACTGGAAAGGATTCTTGAACCTGCCACGTAATTGCATAAATAGTAGTACGTACACGCGTATGATATTATATATGTACGAAAGGAAATAATAAATACTATAGGAAAGCCTCGTGGAATATCTGCCGGGAAGGGCAAACTCTCCTGGAAGGAAAGGGGGATTCTGCTAGGAAGGACGTAGGCGCGTCTTTGAACCACGACTTACCGTGACAGCAACCAGGCGTCCAGTAGAGAGACCCACTCAAAGATGCTGACGACCCAGCGAGACATCCACGCCCACAGCGGCACCTGCTCCCCGCCAGGGGGCACCACGTGCTGCGCGTCCGACCTCAACCACGTCGCGGGAAACGCAACAACACGCCACGCAGACGACAGCGACCGAGACGCCAACATCCAGCAACCAGAGGCAGCGTTGCAGACGCGCGCCCAGCAACCCGACGCAACGTTGCGGATGAGCGACCAACAACCCGACGCAACGTTGCACAAAACTGCCCAGCCGGCTAGAAGCAACCATGCAAGACACTTGAACGGTAAAGCGAGGACGCCCCCGACCCCGCCCCACGCCGCCGTGCCGACTACTAGCGCCCTCTCACGCAGGCGAGCGAGCGACTCCGCGCCCGCGCCCCTGACCCGCGCGAACAACATGGCGACGGCAGCGCCGCAGCCGCGAAACACGTTTCCGATTCCCGTCACGACACCAGATGTGACCGATGATAATACCCGGGCGGCGGCCCTCGCTGGCACGCCGAACACGCCGCCCCTAATCGCTAAAAAAGACCGCGAAGTAGCCTCCTCCTCCTCCTCCTCCGCATCCTCCTCCTCCGTCGTCCCTCCAGCGGGTGGTTTCTTCCGGATGCGGGCGTAGAGCGTGCGCGGGGAGCGACACAGCCAGCGCGCGGCGTCGACGGTGGCGTGTGAGCCGCGCGTGAGCGTCGCTAGCGCGCGTGCGTCGCCCAGCGAGATTGCATGCAGGAACGCGAGGAGGAGCGCGTACGCCCCGCGCAGCGCGCGCAGAGGACTCGTCAGCACGTGAAGGAGAAGCTCGCACGCGCGACCACGCCGCGGCTTCCCCCCCTCCTTTCCGTCGCCGCCCTCTCTCGTCACGGTCACCGTCATCTTCCTCGTCTTCATCGTGTACACGCCGCCCTCCTTCCTCTCCTCGAACTCCTCCTTGCTCCACGTGGTTCCTCCCTCGTCGTCGCTCCTCCGGGCGACCGTCGCCCACGCGACGCAGAACGGTCGTGAGATCCAACGTGCCGCGTCGCCGAACACCGACATCTTTCCGCTCTCCTTCTCGCCGTCGGCGGCTCCGACGCGTTGCCACGGCGACCGCAGCGCGTTGACGATGAGTGTAATCAGGGTGACCAGGACGGTGACGGCCGCGAGGAGGACGTACCACGGCAGCAGCAGGATGTGGATCACCGCGGCAACCGCGCTCCGCCAGAACCCGCCCTCCTCCTTCTCCTCCTCCTCTCTCTCCTGGGCCGCCATCGATCGCGTCTGCCGCCGCGTCGCCCGCGTGACATCCGCCCCCGACGACTCGGCCCGGCGTGACCTCCACGTCGTGACCTTTGACCCGAGCCAGGTGAGCGGTGCGGCGGCGCAGCGTAGGAGGAGCGCGACGAGGGAGACGGGTAAGCGCAGCAGCGTCAGGAGCAGGATGCACAGCCGCTCCGCCGCTCCCCGCTGAAGCCGCAGTCGCTGCATCCGCTCTTCCAGCATCACCACGTCTTCGTCGTCGTCACGGCGACCGTCCCCGACGACGTCGTCCTCGTCGGCGACCGAGTCGTCGCGGCGACGGGACGCGGTTGCCGCGGCGACGACCCTGTAGGCGGTGACGAAGGGCAGCGTGACGATCCATGCGATCCCGAGTACGCCGTACACGGGCCAGAAGACGACGTGAGAGACGACATGGAAGACGCTCGAGAAGACACGCCGCATCGCCGCGGCAACGCTCCACCGCTGCTTCTCCTCGCCGCGATACTCCGGTTCGTCCTCGGACGACGTCTGCGGATGCTTGCTGGAGGCGGCGTAGGATGATGCGGCCGCGATCGGACGGGTGGCGTACCAGAGCGCCAGCCAGAGCAGGTAGAACGGTGACAGGAGCACGCCGACTACTTTCCTCCCCCACCCGCGTCTCTCCCCTCCCTCTTCCTCCTCCTCCTCCTCTTCGTCTCCTGGCATAGCCTTTGCCCTGCTGCGAGTGACGGGTCCGTCCACCGAAGCTTCCTTTTCGCGTCTACGAAATAGACGGCGGACGCCGCCGCAGACGGAGCCAGCGAGAAGGTAGAGCGACATCAGGATCCACGTTATCGGCGACAGCAGCCAGACGATCGTCGTACAGAGGGCGCCACGGGTCGCGCTCGCCGCTTCGTGCATGGACTCCGACAGGGAGCTGCTGTCGACAGCAGGGTACGCGTCCTCCCACTGCATGCTCATCTGCCGCTGCTCCTCCTCGTACTCCGGACGATGCTCAGCCTCCCAGAGGAGCTCGGTGAAGAGGAGGGATGCTCGCTTCGCGGCGTGGCAGGGGAGACGCACGGCGGCGGAGGCGGTGGCCGCGATGGCCCCGCACGCACGCCGCGACAGCAGGAAAAGCGAAAACATGAGCGAGAAGTGGGCGGCCCGCACGGCGCGCAGGCCACGGCACGCAACCCTCCATGGGTACGCGGCGACAGCCCACGCCCACGCCGCCGCGCCCCCCTCCGCCGGCGCCACCTGTGAAGCCGGCATCCATGCGGTGGGGTCGACGTCGCTGCTGTATCCATCGTCGGGCACGGATGGGCGTCGCGCATCGCTGTGGCGACGGAGGTCGACGACGCCGCGCCACGCCCCGCGCACGACCACCAGCACCACGGATCCCACGTAGTACACCGGCAGCAGCGCCAGCGAGACGAGTTTCCACGGCAACCAGAGGAGTGCGAGGACGGCGGACTTGGAGCCGGCGGCGACCCTGCGAAGGAATCCATCGCCGTGACGCGCCCCGCCGTACGTCGTCGTCGTGTAGCGCCTGGTGGTGTACGTCGTGGTGGTGGTGGCGCCACCTTGCGGTCTGTACGTAAAGCAAAACAAGCGTCTAGCGTGAGGTGGCCAGTAACTGCGGTACTGCGGTGGTGATCGTCGTCGCTGGATCGTGAGGTTAGACAGATCTACACGAGCGAAGCACAGTTACCAATCTACGGGAGTCACATGCAACTAACCGATTGGCTACCGGGAAAACTATGCAGACGACATCTAAAGAAATTCTGGATCACTGCACTACAGCATGCACATGGCCCGTCACCAGACCGAGAGACAAGACACCACACCAGACCGAATGCCCAGCGAGAAACACTAATAGCGCATCACAAGCACCGACTACCAAGGAGAGAGATCTCCACAAGGAATGAAGCACTGAAAGCAGCGCGTGTGTGCCAGGCAACAACGGTCTTCAGTTTCGAATGTGCTTGCTACACAGACACATGCATCATGAACAGAACTCTACAAACTAAACCAATAGTGAACGTCTACAGCTGAAACGCTAGACACACATCACTCAAAATAAATATGAATCCATATCACCACAAGCTCTACACAGCACTACACGAAGAATGCTAGTTAAAACTAAACACAGCAAATAAAACTGAGGCAAGCCATCACCAAACTATAGACACCAACACCAAAATAACCACCGACAGCAACAAGACAAGAAATCTAACCAGTCTACTTACTATCGGAATGTTGCAGGCAAGGCTGGAAGGGCAAGGAAAGTTATCCACCACCATGATCACAAGGGAAACAAGCAAGCTACATCATGCTAACAAATTATGGACAAAAACTAATTTAGAGTGTCAGACACTTGTTAACAATGCAGCACAACTAGTTTTGCATGCCATGCTGTTCTTGGTTATATGCCTTTGGGTTTTCCCAAAACAGGGCCCTCCCCCCAAAGCTATCAACCCATTACATGAGTTATTGACACTGAATACTTACTAAGACTAAACATAAAAATAATAAAACTATACACTAGACATACTAAATAATAAAAATACTAAGACATATAACTAGGGCATTTCTCTGCCCACTAAACTGCATTATCATAAATGTTGATTTAAATTCTCAATAAAACAAGAACTGTGGGAATCGTGTCGGCAGCACATCTTGGTGCGCATGCGTACGTCGTAACGCGTCTGCTGTGTTAGTGTCCACGTCATTGCAAGTAGGCACGCAGGGCTCGAGATTAACCGCCAACTCTCTCATATGAAGTATATGAAGCAGCTCCCACTACATATTGCTCCAATATTAAGATATTATATATATATATATATATATAAATATATATATATTATATTATATATAAAGCTTCGATCACAAAGGTTAGCTGGACCCCGCTCAGCAGTGAGATTGTAATCTTGAGCCCTGCGTCATGTCTAACGGCAGTGCCGCGTAAGTGGCGCCCTCTCCCCGCGCGTAGCTTACCCTCGCGCGAATCGTCTGGACCCCTGACCGCTGGCCGTTCTCCTGGACATGTCCGTCTGCGTGGACGAACTCCTGGACAATCTCGTCACTCTGTGGGGAGAGAGAGAGATACACGATGTGGATACGCGACCAGCATGATCATATGCAGGGTTCATAGTAGTAAGACACATGCTGAATAAAGACCAGCAGAAGCAGCCGTGTACACTCATGTGCAATAGTTAAATTGATGTCTGATTCTGCCACTGCTGAATGGTGGTGGTGTGTGGTGGCTGTGTGTGCGTGTGTGGTGCATGACATATGTTGTGTGTGTGGTGGTGTCTGTGTTACGACCCTTTGCTAGCAAATAGTTCTACCTGCAAACATTCTGAATCCCATGCCCCGTACGGCATTCAGCACGACTGCCAACTTGCGTTAACGGTTGAAGAATCCGTTAAAAAGCCTCTCGCACTTCAACATCCTATGAGTTTAATATCGCTCTGGGGATGTTTTATCTAATTACACTCGACTAGCATCCCGACAAAATTTTTGACTGAATTGTCAAACCTTGGGAAATCTGTTAAAGTCAAAATTGGAAAGAATAGATGCGGTCCTATTACAGCTGTGCGGCTGATTAAAGGTTCATATATATAGGAAGGTTCAGGGCGGTGCGAAGGATCCAGAGAGACATGATACAAGATTGCGTGGCAAAACCCAGGCTTTGCTGTAGAGTCCTGAGCGCTGCGCGCGGGATGAGCACGCGCAGTTCCGCGGATATGCGCACGCGACCGGCGGGGCTGTTCAAGGTATGAAGCGCTGCCCGGCCATGGAGACGTGCGCAAAGTTTGAGCCCGGCGCACGTCTCCACAGCCGGGTCAGCGGATGGTCTGTCGTTTTAGAAGATGACAAGATAATATTGACGATATTGTAGGAATTGGAGATAAAAACCTGTAACAAAAAATTGGTCAGTTATCTGCACCAGATTAGCTGTAATCAAAGCATTCGAATTTAATAAGCAACAAAACAAAATACAATGGTATAACATTCACAAACAAAGAAAAGATAGAGAAATGTAATAGGCAACAAGTATTAAAAAAATGCCCCAAATATTCATACGGCTAGGGATTAATTAAGAATAGGAGTTATAACGATATGATAAGCTGCCGAACGTGAAAAATGTAGGTTATTGGATCAGGGAAATATTATGCGTGGGCAGAAGAGCAAAATTATGAAAATCATACTATAGAAGCAAGAGTAAACTTAACCGAATCGCAGCAGTTTTGACCTCCTTCCTAATATAAAGTGCAAGATGGACAACTTAACTAAGGAAGAAAGAAAATGTGCGAGGATTTCAAAATGAGTGCCTGCACAAAATAAAAATCACCAGGAAAAACCCTACCGAAAGCATTGAAAAGAGACGATGAAAACTCCAAGGAAAATACGGAGAAATCAGTAAAAATGAACATATATTCTATAACGTCAAATGTGGGTAAATACATAGTAAAAAAACCGCATTATCTTATATGAAAATTCCCATATTTACTTATAAAACAATCCAAAGAATGCTCTGGATGGCATGTAAACATTACCGGATTTGCCTTCCGAGACATTAATTGTGGCGTTTATTTACCTTGTTTAATGAATGACGCAGCTCGTTCCTTTCGACAGCAAGTAAAAATGCAGACATTTTCCTGTTCGAGGTTCGAAATACCATCGTCCGCATTTCTTTATTTACAAAAAAAAAACAGGCTGGGGAAAGAAGCCGTCACGAGTCGGGTGGAACTCGCCCCATTTCATGCATGCAAACAAAGAAGGCGGGGGCTTATTGTGTTTATCGGAGATGCGAAAATGACAAAAAGATACTTAGCACTGTGCGTCAAAACAGTGTGTTATTTCGTTTTTGTGGCGTCAAACTCTATCGGAGGAAACCATTTAAGGGCAGCCTATATAGACAAAGAAACATCTCGCGCGATTGATTGTTTCAATTGCCTTCGAGGACGTCCACGTGAGGCCGATCGGCCGTGTCCCAATACGAGCATAATTCAAAAACCGCATCTTTGAACTTATTAGCTGACGTATCACAGGCCGGCGGCGTGAGTCTGTGATTGGGAAGAGACACAAGAGTGCAATGACCTCGGCGAAACGCCTCGGAATCAATGGCCATCGTTTACGTCGTAGGAAAGCTCGTGAAATCAGACACAATAAGGAGTCTGCGCCTCGCTGACGTGAGATCGGAGGATAGAGAGTGAGGAGCAGTCCGGAGCCACCAGATAGCGAGAGCGCTATCATACGATCGACAAGGCTAAGGGGTGAACGGTGGGGCGATTCTTTGGAGCCTATAACAAAGACGGAAGGATGTTCACCAGGTCAAGGAAGAGGGACAGGTATGGTTGGGTTGAAGAGAATCGTTACTGGATAGTTCTACGATTAATATCATGTTCGAATTTCTCTGGGTTGAATCGGGTGGGGAGGTGAATAGGTATTACAGCTTTAGCTTAGGTTGAGAGAAGTTTTCAGGAAAGATTGTAGGATGATAATCAGTCTGATAATCCCCCATCGAGCATTATGAACATTGAGAGGTTTGGTAAGGTGAAAAGCAATCGGCAAATGCCATCTTGCATTGAAAGAAAAGCTCAAGATGCAAGCACTACACTCGAAATACAATGGTGAGCCAACGTGAACTAATAGTTTTAGAAGGGGTTTGGAGAAAGATTGGAGGTCACTAGCATTGATACATACAATCTAGGCGTGCTTGGCGGCTTTAGGGAGTTGACTGCGGTGAGTCAGAGGCCCATCTTACCCTCGACAGCAACACACCATACTATACGTGAAGATAGTTATGACTGTCTGTAGACGCGAATTCCGGACGCCGCCCACGCGGCCCGCTTGTGTGGAGACCTATGGCCTATATTCATGATGCGATGTCTATACTAGCTCCCCATAAAACACAGTCTGAGAATCACTAGACTAGAAGACATGAAGAGATAATCTCACTACGTGTAAAATTGTTATGCGCTCAATCTAACTGAGACTATTAATAAAAACATACAGGTTTCTTATCACAAATACCATTGTAATATAAATGTAAATCACAGTTATGCCACCATCGAGAGATTCAATCATGCGAGCACCGCACGTTGTGAGATAATTCTATTTACAATTTCAAAATTGAATATTTCCTTACGGTGTGACACATTTGAATAGGTGAGAACTGCTCTCAGACAGATTAACAAAAACACAGTTAAGAGCGTATCTAGGGCTAACACTTATTGTGTCACCTTACATTATAATGCTAATATTATAATAGGTCGTCTTCCACTAGTATTGGGGAGAGAGAGTAACATCTGCAATCAGTATAAACTAATGAAGTCGAGAGATAAACCGCTGACTCTAAAATACTACATAGAGCACTAAAACTATAACCCAAAGTTGATATTGCGAAGATTATTGAATAGCTCTGAAACTCATTGAAAACGAAGTGAATTGTGCCTGAGGTAGTGAGCTGGCGCGTCCCGGATGGAACGTGGTAGAGTCGTGAACAACAGTGGCGCCTACGTCCGTCTCACTATTGCAATCTCACCTCTGTATCAGTCCGGGACAGGCTCTAAACATGTCACCTGAAGTAAATAATCTACCTCGAGCTGCCAACCGAGCAATCAGAAGGCCTGACTATCATACTAAGAGAGCCTAATCCCATGCACCCTAATTTACAGATATACAGAACAGCAAGATTGTAGACCAGCAGGTATTTATTGCCGGGAGAGACCTATATTAGCAGAAAGCTTACAGGACAGAAGATGTGAGTAAGCTTTTTGAACAACTAGATTCCATGAGCATGCGTGAGAGCGCACTTCACACACTTAATGCGAACGGGCCATTAATCGCGCACGTCACACCTAGAATACGCATATGAGCGTGAGCCATGTTTGGAATCTTAGGGCACTGGTGAGAGTGTGTAAGACGAGGACAGGCGAGATCGCATAAAGATTAGAGAAAGACGAGAGAGAGAAGGACATAGAAGACATTGAGAAGGAGGAGGAAAGTTGGGATAGTGAGAGCACTATAAGGGGGAGGAGAGAAGTGAGAGAGGCGAGGAAGGAATTACCAGACAGACGATATAGACGTCTTGAAATATGAGCTAATAAAAGAATGAGTCGGAGTCGCGACGAGAAGTATGCGGCAAGAGAGAGAGACAGATGAGAGAGTAGAATGAGATGAGCAGAAAGTGCAGGCGAGTAGATATATGTGCGGTAAAGAGGGGAGTCGAGACGACAAGCCTTAAGAGAAAGAGTAGCTAGAGCAGAGATAGCAACGGGCGCGATAAGAGAATGTAGCAGGCACATGAGCGTAAAAAGATATGCAGAATAGGAGAAGAGGATGTAGGAGATATTATATTAAAGTATCATAGGTCGGTATGTATTACAAGAAGTAGAAAATGAAGACGTATAAGAGATGAGGAGTAGAGAAGAGAGACTGAGAGAAGGCCTATGGAATAGGTAGAAAAATATAAATCCTGAGCGGTAGACTGCGCAGAGTCATCCGCGATCGTTCCTGACGCGGCCGCGCTCGGCGGGATCGAAAGCCCTGCGCGGTGCCCTGTGGCGTCATCAGACGCGACACTGGCGCGCATGTTGACAAGTAAGAGGCATCACGCGGTGCGCAGGTGCCGAAGGTCAACAACTTCTGAGGCATGCGCTTTTTACACCAGTTAACACACACAATGCACATAATTGTCGGGCATCACAGATGGAAACTCAGAGCGACATAGAGACTAATAGTCATTAACCACTAAGAAAGAGGTAATTCCGTACAGTGACCATACAACCGGAAGAAGAGAGATACTCAGAGAGCATGATAATATAATAGTAATATAATCTAGCTTTCAACGATAAATATATATCTTGAGTAACGGCGATCAACTGAATAACGGGACAGAAATAGCCCAAGCCAGTAACTATAACTGATCCAACAATTGAGCCTAAGATACACAGAAAATCTGAAAAGTTCAGCACATAAGATTATCTAAGTCGTACGGGAACAGCCGAACCAAGAACGTAATAAACATGGCGCGGGTTCACATTCTAATATCTGGGCATCGTTTCCAATATGAAACC